GGATTGTATTTTTATAAAATTATTTGAATTTAATTGAGGGGTGTTATAAGGATTAGATCTACTGAACTATATAGATATGAATATACATATACTCACACAACAGGTAATTTTTATTTTAATTTAGCTTTTTTTTTTTTTTTAAATCAGGTCCTGCCCATCTTGTAATCCTCCTGTTTGAACACTCTAACTGAGACTTCAGTCAGATGCTGACATTCTCAGCTCTTTTTGTTTTTAGGCAGAATCTTGCCATATTTCCCAGACCAGCCTGAATTTTGCACTCCCTACCTAGCCTTCCCAGTTGCTGAGATTACAAGCATACACCATCTCGCCTGTCCCTAGGTTAGACAAGGCATTGAACAAAGGCTTTCCATGTGATCCTAGCCTTAAAAAAAACATTGTCTTTTGGGGGGTTGGCAAGTGGCATGGTGGTTAAAGGCATTAGGTTCCCACATGGCCGATGGCAGTTTGAGTCCTGGACCTGCTAGCTTGATTTCTTGCTTTCCCTTTCTCTGTCTCTCTCTGGTCAAAACCACTATAGGCTGGTATCTATTTCAAATAAGTTTTTAGTTGCAATGTTCTCTATAGCTATTAGTCTCTCTAGTATGAATCATTATGAAAGAAATTATCTTAGAACTCGAGGCTAATAATTTAATTTCCAAGGATCCCATTGGTTTTCTAACAAAATCATATAATGGTAATGTTTCTGCATTTCTCTCTACTTTAAGGGAGCTCATAACATCTTCTCGGCTTAACTTTAATAACAGCATTAAGATTTTATGATGCGTAAGTATTAATATTTTTTCCTATAAAATTGTATCTTTACTAATTTTTTTCTTTTTGTGCGTTGTTCTTGTTGAGTATATCAAATCTTGATTAAACAAGGTTCAATCCAGTGTAGTAAAGACATACATAAGTAAGTATGTATGTTAATGCATAGTTCCAATGCATAGTTTCTGGACTGTCACAATTTGCCTTTTCCTATTCTTTGAAAACCTCAAACCTATTCTCATATTTACATAGAACTTGATTCCTTATTATCTTCATCTGGCCAAATTCCCTACTTTGAAGTATTCACTCCTCATATATGCATTCTCTGACTAAATCATTCTCTATATTCCCCCAATATTATCTATATTAATACTATTCTTTATTCCTTTTCTCTGAATTTTTTTTTACTTTTAAATTGGCATATAAAATTGTATTTTATGAAGATGATATTTTGAAGTATATGTACAATTGTGGAATGGCTAAATCTAATTAATTTACAAATGCCTTACTGCCCATTGTTATCATTTTTGTGGCAAAAAGAAAATAAAAAACCTACTTCACCTGCTCACTTAGCATTATTAGAAAATGCAATGTTGCATCATTAACTATAGTAACCAGGCTAAACATTAGGTCTCTTGAGCTTATTCCTCCTGTCAATCTGTATCCTTTAATCGACATCTCCCCCTCGTCCCTTTTATATTACTATGACTTCTAAAATTATGGATTTTTTTTATCTGTTGATAATCTGTTTTCTTCATAAGAATATAAGTTTCACAAAGGCAGAGACTTTGTTTTTAGATTGATCTCATTCTAGTGCATGTCGTAGATGTAAATCAATGTCTAGTGAATGATTGAGTAAAATCCATCCATCCCAGATGCCAACTGACTGGTTTATTTTTTACCAAATAGTGGGCCAAAGCATCAGATTCCTCCACATCAGTCTTTTTCTTGGCATCTGGGATTCACCAACTTTGCGTCTTTGTCAGCTTTTCCCTGTTCTGGGCTGTGTTTTAAACACAACCTCCCCTCCCTTGAAGTCAACACAAAAGTGTATTGGCACTACATGCTAATCTTCTTTTAAATGTAAACCAGTTTTCAGATATTTTAATTATCTTTCAGGGATAGGAAAAGTAAAGAAGTATATAAACTCTTTCTTACATTATAAATAAATGACTTGAAAGTCAAGTCAGAAAAAGAAAGTGCTGCTACTGCCATGAGTGTTTGAATCACCTGTAAAACTCACTGAAGTGTCAGTCTCACAACCAATATATTCATTTCACTGCCTTTGTCATCCACCAAAAATAATAGCTCTCTAAGATTAGCCTGTGGACTGGTGCTGGTCTAAGTGCACCAGAATAAGGTAGGTTACATTAAAACTAGATTCCAGGATTCATTTCAAAGATTCTGATTTAGAGGATTTCAAGAAAGGCCAGAAAAAGCTGTTTAAAAAGTTTCCAAATATTTATTACACAGACATGTTTAGGAGACAATGCTTTAGACTGTTATTAATTGCTAGATGTCAATTTAATATAAATGTATGTTCAATTACTATTTTAATTAGGACTTCATTTCCTTCTATCTGAGCTAAAAAGATTTGAATGTTCTACTCCTCCACTAAGGTAGAGCAGAAATCATCAGTTCATAAATACAAGGTGTGACAATGATACACACACTACTTAGAGGTCGAAAATTTATGACGTTAGGGACCAGGTAGGAGATCATAGATAAAAGGGCAAGCAAATATTGAGGGTTAGAATAGAAGAATCTAAACTGAGACACAAGGACATTTAATTCAAATTACCATCTATCAATTCTTTATTTGAAGTAAGATCTGCTTTAATTGGGATGTTCTTGTCTATAATTTAATTAGGCACAAATTACAAAATCAGGGTCTGTATCTCTAGGTGTACATAAATAAAGACCTACATTTTCATCTGTGACGCTAGTGGGGAAAACATTGTGATTGTTGTCCACTTGTGATCTCTCATTCACTTTGATTAACTTTTGTGCACATCTGAAATTTTCTCAGGGCAGCCTTCATGTCCTTGTTCCGGAGACTGTAGATCAATGGGTTTACAAGGGGGGTGACTGAGGAGTAGAACAAGGTTACAATCTTCTGTATCCCAGCTGCATTTCCAGAGGTAGGGCTGATGTACATCAGCATGACAGTTCCATAGAACAGAGACACCACCGCTAGGTGGGAGCCACAGGTGGAGAAGGCCTTCCGTCTGCCAGCTGCTGAAGGCACACGCAACACTGCTCTGAGAACCAGGGTGTAGGAAGCAAGAATGAAGAAGAAGGCAATGAAGATAATGAGGGAGTTCAGAATAGAACAGGAAAGCTCAATTCCAGGGGCAGGGATGCAGGACAGGGCCAGAATAGGACCAGGGTCACAGACAAAGTGGTCAATGGTATTGGGGCCACAAAAGGGGAGTTGTGTGATAAAGTATATAGGGACAGGATAGCAGAGGAAGGCAGCCACCCAGCAGAGGGCCACCAAGTTCATGCAGAGACGACTGCTCATGATGGTAGGATAGTGGAGAGGGTGGCAGATAGCCAAGTACCGATCAAATGCCATGAGGGGCAGTAAGAAAGTCTCAGTGATGCCCATTGAGAAGAAGAAGTAGAATTGGAGGAAGCAGGCAGTGAAAGAGATGGTTTTGGTCTCAGACAGGAAGTTATGTAGCATGTTGGGGACAGTGGTGTTGATGTAACAGATCTCTAGGAATGAGAAGTTGGCCAGCAGGATGTACATGGGGGTGTGGAGCCTGTGATCCAGCCTCACTGCCACAACGATGGCCCCGTTCCCCATCAGTGTCAGCATGTAGGACACAGAGAAGAGCACAAAGAGGAGAAGCTGGACCTCTCTGGAGCAGGGAAAACTCAGGAGGATGAACTCAGTCACTGTGTTTGCTCCTGACACATTCAAGGCTCCCTGAGGGGTAGAGAGGAAAACAGTGACAATGACACAGTTAATCTTATTCCCTCATCCATGGAGATAGTTTCTGATTTGGGGACTGATATATTCCTCAGATTCTATTATTATATTAAATAAATGATAATCCAAACATAGTGCTGAAGACTAGCAAAGTTAGAGAGTGCTCGATATGATAGGATGAAAATCTTAGACTTTCTTTTATTTGTCTTTTAGAATTTTCCGACAGTTTTAGATAGGATCTTACATAATAATCATCTCAGAGAAGGCTAATGACAGGACTTAAAAATGTTTGTAAGAGGGGCCGGCAGGTGGCTTGGTGATTAAGGGTGCCGGACTCCCACATTGCCGACTGCAGTTCAAGTCCCGGACCTGGCAGCTTTCTGTCTCTCTCTTTCTCTCTCTCTCCCTCTCAGTCTATCCTTCTCTGGAGAAATTGAAATAAATAAATGAATGAATAAATAAAGTTAAATAAAATATTTTTAATTTCTGTAAGAAAATATGAATATTATGCATTTATGTCTATAGAATAAGATATAAAATTCCCTTGTGCGACCTGCTGGTGGGGTGGCTATGGCACCTGGACCTCCCATGGCCTACTTCATAGTACAAGTCCTTGAACAGTCTGTGAAAGAAAAAACACAAAGCACATGCATATGCATGCTCAAAATCCCAAAAGGAGGAGAAGGAATTACAGTATAGACATCTCCCCTTGAGGGTTCTGTCTCTCTCCTCTTTACACTTGTCACCCATCCAAAGCACATGTGTCCTCTGGAAGTGTCACTAAAAAAAGATTTAAAATACTCTTAATACAGAACACAGAATTTCAATTATATGGATCTTTGGGTCATGGATCTAGGAGATATAAACATTAGACATTGTAGGAGTAAGAGAGAGAGAAAGGTAATGACACAATCAAGTCTTTGTGCATCTTACTTTTATCCTAGGTCAGTGCCATGTTGTCAGCATGATCAACTTATCATAATCCAGACAAGAAATGTGAAAGAAACATGCAGTCAGTGCTTTCTTCAGTGTCCCTCGAATTTTGTTAACTCAATAAAGCTTTGTATGTCCAAACATCTACATAATGGCTTTCAATTTGGTTTCATCTTTACAGTTGAAAAACATTGGTATAGAAAAAACATCTATGTATAAGTATAAAAATAGGCAATGGATCTGGTTTTGGTTTTTGGTTTGTTTTGTTTTGTTTTAAATTTTTCTTAATTGCCAGAGGGTATGTGCTTACTTGAAAGAGACAGAGGCGAGGAGACAGGGAGAGAAAAGAAATCCCCAAGAGGCATGGTCACACCACAATTCCTTAACCTTCATTTCTCCATCCTGTCAGCACTTTGGACAAGCATGTACACATGTGCCTTGTGTTTTTCAAGCCCCCATGCACAATCTCAAACTACAGTAAACCTTGAAGGGTCCACTTCCCCTCAACTGTAGGCTATTTGGCTGGCCTTATTTTAGGATTTTTGAGACTTTTGTCTGCACTATCAGGATTTATAAAGAGGCCTCAGTTCTTCTGATTTATGAAAGGATGCAGAGTCCACAAATATCAGATACTCCTAACTAGAGCTTTCTGGAGACCAAGAACAAATGTGGAAGCCATAAACTGTACAGCAATCCCTCAATTGTTCTCCCACTCCTTCTGTTGCTTCTAACCCTTTAGAGTTTTGGAAAGTTAGAATTGTTTAGGAAACGATGACAGAATCTTTGTGAATCTTCCTTCTCTGCATTAGACTTAGTTTAAAACATTGCCTGACTTCCATTTTGAGAGAGATAAAACCAATGAAATTATCAAACATTCCCTTACTGTACTTTGATTATAACTTACTAATTTGCTTTTGGATGCTCTGTCAGTGAGAAACAGCCATCATTTGGGCCTCAATGAACCAGAGTGAAACGATGCAGTGATAATTTTATCTGGCCCACTCGGTCATGTTGGTGTTCTCCCTTCCCTCAGTGGCTGATTATCTGCTCTATGGAAGACACAAACAGCACAAAACGCAAGATACCCCATGGTTTTCAGTCCAACTGCTCAATAGCCACTTTGTCAATCCTTTCCACATGTCACATCACTAATGTCTGTGCTCCCATAAGGAGCTGGGTCACTGGGCACAATTTCTGGTTAATAAAGACAGAATTTATGCACTGCCAAGGCTCTTTCCTCACCTTCATGTCTCTCATGTCAGTGAGTCTCCCAACTTTCTCAATTGTGAAGGACCATCTTCTGTCAGTTCACGTCACTTGAGGTCCCTCGGTTTTCAATGCAACACAAAGAAGGCAGATTTAAATGACATATTTCAGAGGGTCCTAACACTTGTATTTCTACTGAATCCATTGTCTCATTAAAATAGCATATTTGGTAGAGAGTTTCTGTTTTCACTGAGCAAAAGGCAGACAGGAGGGAGGGCATGATATCCTTAGCAGTCAATCGTCACAAAGGTGGTCTAGGAGGTGTAGTGTGGAGAGAAATTGGCGTGTATATTGCACAGCAGACTGACCTATGTTGCTCTGAAACTCACGTCTTATTCATCCTAAGGGATGTAATCTCCGATGGATTCCTAAAGAGGGAGTCTACAAGGGAAGATTGTTAATGGTATTGTACAGGTTCCCGTCCCTCTGGAGTGCATTAATTGGCTCATGGGACCTAGTTTCTCCAGTGGTGATCACAAAATCTTATGCGATTCTTAGAGCATATTTTTTTCACCAATGGGTTACTGCTATGATGGTGCACACACTATAGCAATATCAGCTTATCTGAGACAAGAGGTGTTTGTTTTTCTTTCTATTCTTTTTATGTTTTCACATTTAATTTTATTATTTTGCTTGAGTCTACATGCAAGTTTTGGACTCCCCTATCTGTCAGTATCAGAATTATGGTATTCGAGTACTCAGTGTCGCTCATTTATTTATTTATCTTATAATTTCTTAGTTGCATTTAATTACTGTACATTTTTATAGGGTACAATATAGTAGTTTTTCAAAGCATGCATGTAGTGGGAACCAGCAGTTAGCGTAATGGCTATGTCGCTGGACTCCCACTTAGTCGACCGCAGTTCGCGTCCCGTACCCGGTGGCTTAAAACTCACGCTGGACGCATGTGCATGCATGCCCAAGATCCCAAGAGGAGAATGGAGGAGAAGGGATTGCGGCATGACCATCCCCCCTGGGGGGTGATTTCTCGCTTTCTGTCTCTCTGTCTCTCTCTGTCTGTCTGGGGAGTGCACGCGCCCTATAGCGAAAAACCTCTCAAAAAAAAGAAAAGCATGCATGTACTGTGCCATTCTAAATCAAGCATACTACCATCATTTTGTAAAGGTTGCATCATATTGTGCACCTTCAATATTTATATATGAAATCCATATATTATATATAATATGTGAAATACATTATATTACATATAATATATGGTATTTATATATAAAATCAATATATTCTGTATAAGACATTTAATATATGGATTATATATATAAATACATAATATATTATTATATTCAAATATTACATATGAATATATAATATATAGTATGTACATGTTATATATTACATATATATGAAATGACCTTCTCTTTTTTTGCTTTGTGCTTGTATAGTGTTTCATGATCTGTTTGCCCTGTTTACGTACATTCCGGGTCTGTTACAAGTTTTTTCTTGAGTCCCACCTCCACTGCCCCCTCAGTCTCTGGTATCTATAATTTTCCTTTGTAGTTATTGTGTGTCTTTAAATTTTTCAATTTCAGCCATAGGGTGCAGGCATTCAGTGTATTAAGAAGAGATATACCATGTTTTTCTTCCATAATGTGACTTATTTCACTTAGCATTAAATCCTGTAGGTTCATCCACTTTTCTCAAATGACAGGCTTTCATTATTCTTTCTAGCTGAGGATTCTACTATGCATATATGCCTCATCTTCTTAATCTAAACTTCTTCTCACTGACTTATTCAATGTCTTTAAAATGGCTATTTCCTTCTTTTTTTTTTTTTTCCCCTTCTTTTTTCCCAAACACTTTCTCTCCCTGGTCAGTTCTCTTCTTCTGTAACAATACTGTAAAATGCCCAGGTATAAAAACAGAAAGATTAGGGGTTGCCAGAGGGTGCTTGCTAATAGGCACGGGATTTCATTTGGGGTGATCAAAATTATATAAAGTTTGAATTGGGGAAAACATAGAAAAGATATTGAATGTTGAAGGGGGAGATTAATGTCTCTGTACTGACGGACATGCATGGCATTCCCTTTGGAAAAAACAATGTAATACACTGTAAAGTTATATGTAATCCAATGTAATATAAAGAAGATTATGATGATGATAATAAAAAAATAAAATAAATTTTAAAAAAATTATATAAAGTTTGATAGTTGTGATTGTGCAACTATGTGGATAAATAGAAATGTCACATTGTACACTTTTAAAAAGGTAATTTTACAATACTGTATATGAATTATAATTCAATCAAGTTGTTATAAAACAGAACAAAATGATAATACATTTATTTTCATCACGGGGATATCTCTATAGGAAATCTTTATAACTTGTATCACTTCAAAAGCTAATTTTCCATATAAACATTTTAAATGAACAAATCAATAGGTTGCCCTTATGCTCTCTTCTTCATATTCTTAGTTCTTTTTATTATCTATTAGTTCCTATATACAACGTATAAATAATATCCAAAACACACTCATCTTCGGTATCATATTTTTGACAAGACAATAATTACTACTTGGGTTATAATTTCAGATATTACAATCTAATATCTATTCAGTTTGTTGGATTTGCTCCAAAGTGGCTTCTGGAAAAAAAATAAATGTAGATGTGGACATATTCTTTGTTTCTATTGAGTTTGCAAATTCCTAAACTTAAATACAGTGATTCCCAGCTCCCTCTGTATATTACACTGTGCTTGGGGAAATTTTCAAAATACCTGTGATTTCAATATCTCTGTCCCAGTGGCACTAGACATCAATAGTAAATTCTATCTGTGACTGTGATTATTGAATCTGTTGTAGATCAATGATTTCCAAACTTCAGTGTGCATCTGATTCCACTGAGGATATTGTTCAAATGCAGATTCTGATTCAGCACACCTGAGATCAGGTCCTATTATCCGGCCTTGTTACAGGCTCCCCAGTGATGCCCAGCTGATGATCCACAAACCACATTTTCAGCAGTACAGGTTGTATGATACAAGAGGGGATTTCAAAAAGTTCTTGGAAGATGGAACTAAAGTCTGAGTTGATTTTAGTTCAAAAGCATTGTATTCTATAATTAGTTTATTCATAATATGAGTTACTATGAACATTTGGAAGATCCCACATATTTCAAAATGTGTAGTAGTATGCCCAAGAAAGAAATTAATTTCAAAATTGTTTTAAGAGATAATAAATAAAAAGGAATGATTGACTACCAGCATTGTAAATCAAGATTACATTTGTTAAAAGAATTTCTTAGAATACTAACTGTTAGGGACCAGCAGATGGCATAATGGTTTGCCTCTGGACTTCCATTTATCGAATGCAGTTTGAGTCCCAGACCTGGCAGCTTAAAACACACCAGGTACATGTGCATGAATGCCCAAAACTCTGAGAAAAGAAATGGTTGTGGCATGGCCATCCCCCCTGGAAGGGAATTTCTCATTTTCTTGCTCTTGGTCTTTATCTCTCCACTGAGCACACATGTTCTATAGCAAAAATCTCTCTCAAAAAAAAAAAAATTAAACTTCAATTTCTACCTTCTTTTCTAAAACAACATTGAAACATTGAAAAATAATGTTTCTTTTCTTAAAATAAACAACAGTTACTAATAAAAATAAAATAAAATAATGTGCAGGCATGAAAGCATGGTTAATAAGAAAATAAAATAAAGCAAGTTATGTTACTACATCGATTGATGAAGGCAGGGTAAGAAATAATTTCTTGCCTTTTTTCCAGAACTGCCATCTTCCAGTAATTAATCAAAATGATGAACACAAAGGGAAAGAAGGGAGGTACCCAACATATGTTCTTTAGGCCTTTTAGAGAACATGGAGTGGTTCCTTTGGCAACATATATGCAAATCTGCAAGACAGGTGATATTGCAGACATCAAGCAAATAGGTACTGTTTAAAAGGAATGCCCCACAAATGATACCATGGCAAAATGTTACCCAGCATGCTGTTGGCATTGTTATGAACAAACAAGTTAAGGGCAAGATCCTTGCCAAGAGAATTAATGTGCATATTGAGCATATTAACCATTCTAAGAGCAGAGATAGCTTCCTAAAATGTGTAAAGGAAAATAACCAGAAAATGAAGAAAGCCAAAGAGAAAGGTGCCTGGGTTCAACTAAAGCACCAGCCTGCTCCACCCAGAGAAGCACACTTTGTGGGAACCAATAGAAAGGAGCCTGAGCTACTGGAACCTATTCCCTATGGATTTATGGCATGATGGATGTTAAACTAATCTGTGGTCTATAAAAAAAAAAATTACATGCCTGGCATCTATGCAGAAATGGGAGAGGCACCAATATGTTTTCTAGGCGTTTTAGAAAACATGGAGTTGCTCCTTGGGCAACATATATACGAATCTACAAGAAAGATGACATTGTAGACACTAAGTCTACATCTCAGATTTTTGTTTACATCAGCCCCTGTGCCCACTTGTCTGATTTTTGGGTTTCTGAACACTTATCATACAAGATCATCTTCTGAAAGTGAGGGAAGAAGTCAGAATGTATGGATTTTAGATATTCCAGAAAAGACTTTCTGTTATGGTCATGACTAAGCAGCTTTAATAGATTTGGTACTAGGCCAAAAGTTACTTCCATCAAAACTAACTATAAAATATGGAAAAATACATAAAAACAACCATTTGAAGAAACTGGAGAGCAATCAACACACAGGTGAAAGGGTTGTAAGTCCTGCGATCACCTTAGGGATGTAAAAGTGTAAATTCATCCTCTCCTTGTCATCAGGTTGATTCATTGTCTCACCGGCACTTTAGGTATTTTAACTGTAAAAGCCCATTCACAACTCCATGTTCTTCGAACATTCTCCTCCTTTTCCATTCCTGAGTTAGTCGGTCCTTTTTTGACTTGATTGCAGATGGTTGACCTTATATTTTCTATGTTCTTGCCTTCAGATGTAAAGATTGTTACATCCATCAACAGATAACATGAAAACTAAGGGCAAAATGTGTGGCAGACAACCACAGCAGATACGACTTCCAAAATAACCATGAAATAACACAAGGACCAACAAGTATACCGGCTCAGGGTCACCCTAATTATTCAGCCATAATTTCCCTCCCTTGAGAACCAATAGTAGCTCCTCAGCTCCACCCTTTAAAGCTACAACTCTCCACATCTGGCTCTTTTCCTTCTTGGAAAGTGAATAATTTTTTTCTATTTGCTTTCTTTCTGAATGTGTGAATTTTTTTTCACAGACCATAACAAAGACTACTCTAACAACATGCAAGACTTTAGGAACCAAAACTCCAAAATGAAAGGAAGAATAAGAGGGTAAATTTCATGTTTACCATGTGCATGTGTTTCCCTCCGAGAACATTTACCAATTCCCTGGGTAGGGGGAGTATGAGAATGCAGAGGGACGCATGAGGGAATGGGGGAATAAAAGAATAACACAGGAGTAGAAAGCAGTACTTTCATTGAATTGAAGAAACAGAGGATTGGTCTATAACTGCATTGCAGCTGGTGTTTGAGAAACAAATTCTGGAGAGAAGGGAACCCCATTGAGGCTCAAAATATCATGCAATCTCCCTTCAGCACATATTTGGATTATTGACCTATTCGTGTACAAACTGAGTCAAAATCCATTGACTTTATAATTTTTAAAATGCTATATAGCATTCAATGTTTTTCATGAGATATGCTAAGCAACAAGATAAACATTTAAGAACCAAGAGAAGAGAAAGTAGAAACTTGCTCATATGTATTCCAGTTTGGTTAAAACTTATGAACAATTATCTGAAAAAACAGTTTAAAAAAAAAAAACACAGAAAAAAATTAAGATAGAAGTTTAATTGCTCAAAGTTTTTACTATTATTATTAATTTTGTTTATATTCCCAGAACTTTCTGCAGAGCTGTTTTCATCTCCTTGTTCCTCAGACTGTATATTACAGGATTAAGGAATGGGGTCACAACAGAATAAAACAGAGTCACAATCTTCTGCATTCCAGCTTCATGCTCAGATGTTGGATTCCCATACATGACCAGTACTGAGCCGTAGAACAGTGAAACCACAGCCAGGTGAGACCCACAGGTAGAGAAAGCCTTTTTTCTCCCTGCTTCAGAAGGGACCTTCAATACAGCTCTTAACACCAAAGCATAGGACCCAATGATGAAAAGAAAGGGAATAATGAGAGGTAACGAAAGTAGGGTGGAGAAGACGAGCTCTATCACAGGAGCCTTTTTGCATGTATGTGCTAGAAGAGGACCTAGGTCACATAAGAAGTGGTCAATGATTCTGTCTCCACAGAATGACATTTGGGAGACAATGATGATGGGAATCAAGAACCAGAGGAAACCAAACACCCAGCAATTGACCACAAGATTGGTGCAGAGACGTCTGGTCATAAGAACTGGATAGTGTAAAGGATGGCAGATGGCCAGGTACCGGTCAAATGCCATAACCACCAGAAAATAGTTTTCTGTACAACCCAAGGAAAAGAAGAAATAGAACTGGAGAAAGCACCCAGAGAAGGAGATGACCTTGGTGTCAGACAGGAAGTTGGCCAACATGTTGGGGACTGTGGAGGTGACATACCAGATTTCTAAGAAGGAGAAGTTGGCGAGCAGGATGTACATGGGTGTGTGGAGTCTCTGATCCCAGTACACAGCACAGATGATAGAACTGTTGCCCAGAAGGGTCAGGAGGTAGAAGACAGTGAAGAGCACAAACAGGAGGATCTGCCCCTCATTGGGGCAAGGGAAACCCAGGAGGATGAAGCCAGAGATGGTACTGGAGTTGCTGAGAGTGTTGAAGATTTTCATGTGTTATGAACTATAAAATCACCAGGAATTATTGGAGGACACTGCAATGACAAATTGGAACCTGAATATGTATTTAAAACATCCTTGGGAATATCATAAATGCTTATAAATTAATGGTTACTAATTTCATCTAACCAGAAATTTTATCCTCTTGGACAATGAATGTTTTTCTGTTAAAATATTAGATGTCACTGAGTACCAATTATTAGAAACAGAATTTTATTTATTGTGAAAAGTGAGAATTATGCAAATTGTGTGTGTGTGTGTATATATATATATAGAGAGAGAGATAGACAGCTTAATAAATGATTATAATGAAAACACAACAGTAACTACCATGAGATCAAGAAATAGAATATCATGGGAACCAGCAGTTAGCGTAATGGCTATGTCGCTGGACTCCCACGTAGTCGACCATGGTTCGCGTCCGGGACCCGGTGGCTTAAAACTCATGCCCAGTGCATGTGCGTACGTGCCCAAGATCCCGAGAGGAGAATGGAGAAGAAGGGATTGCGGCGTGACCATCCCTCCTGGGGGGTGATTTCTCGCTTTCTGTCTCTATGTCTCTCTCTGTATGTCTGGTGAGTGCATGTGCCCTGTAGCGAAAACCTCTCCCCCCCCCAAAAAAAAAATAGAATATCATTTGTAACCCTGGTATCTCTGCTCTTGCTCCATCCCACACACTTTACCTTCCTGTTCTTCCAACTATATCACTTTTCTTTCTTATGGTCATCATTTTCTTGTATTTTTTTATTATTTAATAACTGTGTATTTCCAAACAATAGTATTCAATTTTGCCTGTATTTGTTTTTATAAATGAAATTGTACTATTGAGTATCAGAGATAGACAAAAAAGTTTATTTTGAAATGTGGAATCATGCACATCATATATGTTATATATAACATAATACATATTACACATGTGTTTATTATATAGGAAATATATTATTTATATATTTTTTCCACAGTAACTACTATGAGATCAAGAAATTGAGTATCCCGTGTAAGTCTAGACTCTCTCCTCTTTCTCCATCCCACACACTATCTCTCTGCTCCTCTAATTGTTACACGTTTCTTTCCTTATGGTTGTGACATCTTTGTATTTCATAATAACTTAATAACCAAGTAGGCACTTCTAAACACTAGTATTTAGTGTGGCCTCTACCTTAATTTTGCACAAATGTGATCATATCATTGTACTTTGGATGGTTTCTTTTGTTCAGCAGTTAAGTTTGTGAAAAAAAAGCACAATGAGGGCAGGCCTTTAAGGGTGAGTCCGTGCTGGGGGACCTGAGAGCCACTTCGAGACTTTTGGACTTCATCACCCACCATCCCAACAGCCTGGACTCACCCTGGCCAATCACCAGGAGTTTTGAGTCCAGTCTGGGCAAGCCTTTAGTATGAGAATGTGCTCGAGGTCTGAGAGACCCTTTGGAACTTTTGGTACACCAACCTGCAAAGCACAGTGCGTGACTGGACCATCTTCACCAAGTTATATCTCCTTAGCTTGCTACCACCTCATCAAGAACTAGCGTTTGATAGAGGGGCCAAGCACCTGAAGTTACCCATAACTGCTCTCACCTGGGAGATACAGCTCTCCAATAGGAACACATTTGGGAACTAAGGTGAAATTTCCTCTACCAGCACTACAGAATCTACTCTAATAAATAGAAAAAAAGTGAATATTGCCTCAGATGACCAGAAGCCAGCACAGATCTCAAAGAAACATGAAAAAACAAGTGGGTAACCCTTCACCAGGTGAGGGTAGTTAGCCCCTCACCAACAGTGAACAGCACCAAGAAATACACAGAAATGTCAGAAAAAGAATCTGAATATTCACAGTCATGAAACTCAGTGAAAAGCGAGAGGAAACTCAGTTTCAGAAAATGTGAAAATCATTTCAGGACATGAAAGAAGAATTTCATAAATAAATAGACACCCTAAGGAAAGAATCAAACAGAACTTCTGGAAATGAAGAATATAATACAAGAAATTAAAATCTCCCTAGAAAGCATTAGCAGCAGATTGGATCGTGCAAGAGAAAGAATTTCTGACCTTTAAGAAAAAGTCTCCAGCATAGACCAAATCACCAAAAAGAAGAAAAATAAAACCAAAAAAAATGAGGAAAGCATACAGGAAATTCTAGACACCGTGAAACACCCAAATATCCATTTAATGGGTATTCCAGAAGGTGAAGAATATACTAAAGGCATGGAAAACCTTTTTCATAGAATACTATCTAAAAATTGCCCAATTATAGAGAAACATGGAGAAATTCAGACCCAAAAAAAAAGACCCCAAATAAAATCAACACAAAAAGATCCTCTTCCTGGCATATCATAGAAAGATTGGTAAAAAATTAAAGACAACATTCTCAAAATGGCAAGGGAGAAACATCAAGTTACTTATAAAGGCTATCCCATTAGGCTAATGTCAGACCTCTCAACTGAAACAATGCACTCAAGAAAGGAATGGGAAGATGTGTTCCAAACATTAAAAGAAAAACAATTTCAACCAAGAGTACTATATCCAGCAAGACTGTCCTTCAAATGAAAAGAACAAATAAAAGTATTCTCAGATAAACAAAAACAAAAAGAATTCACTAGTAATAGACCAGTTCTACAGGAAGTACTGAGAAGAATGTTTAATCAGGATAACTAAATAGAGACAAAAAGAAATAGAACAGAAAAAACAACTGAGAAAATGGCTAACAAAATGACAGAGATAAATCCATAAATATCACGAATAACATTGAAAATGTTACTGGAAAACTCTCCCATTAAAAGACACAGACTTGCTGAATGAATACAAAAGCAGAAGCCATGTATGTGCTCACAAGAAACACACCTCACTGATAAAGACAAACATAGACTGAAAGTGAAAGACTAGAAAAAAAATTCCATACAAATGGAAACCAAAAAGTGACTCGAGTTGCAATACTGATATCAGACAACATAGACTTTAAGATGAAAGATGCAAGAAGAGACAAAAAGGACTTTATATAGTATTAAAAGGACTTATTTACCAAGAAGATGGAACACTTATAAATATGCACCCAATATGGCAGCACCTAAATACATCAAAAAGAGACTGTTAAATCACAAAGGAGAGATGGACTGCAACAAAATCATAGAAGATCTCCATTTCACTG